CTGAGCTGTCTCCCTGTGCATAAGCAGCCCTTCTTTCTCCCATGATTGTTCTCTCCAAGGAGTGTATCTACTTGAGGTAAATGTTCAGCTCATAGGCCTGTATTTTGTTTGGCTGGAAACCACAGGTGTGGGTTCAATTCCATACCTGAAGGGCAGCTAGGGGCCATAGTCTCAGCGGTTCCACCAGGCTCTATTGGACTCCATCTTCTTTTGATGCTTCCTGCATCATTCAATATCTTGCCTATTGAATCCTTCAGTATTGCAACTTGAAGCTTGGTTTTTTTCTTCAGTTCGTTCAGCTAGAGAAATGCTGAGCATGTTGTTCCTTTTTGACTTTCTAACTACAGATCTTTGCACATTCCATTATAATTATTTACTTTGTCTTCTTGAGATGTCCTTTGAAATCTTTGGTTTAGCTGTTTTATTTCATTATTTCTTCCGTTCATTTTAGCTACTGTACGTTCAGGAGCAACTTTCAGAGTCTCTTCTGACATCCATTTTGGTCTTTTCTTTCTTTCTTGCCTTTTTAATGACCTTCTGTTTTCTTCATATATGATGTCCTTGATGCCACCCCACAACTCAACTAGTCTTTGGTCATTGGTGTTCATCACATCAAGTCTGTTCTTGAGATGGTTTCTAAATTCAGGTGGGATATACTCAAGTTTGTACTTTGGCTCTTGTATACTTGTTTTTAATTTTCTAGTGGGCCTCCTTCTTTGTTTCCAACTTTTGCATTCCAGTAATCAGTAATTATCAGTGCATCTTGATTGCATGTTTGATCAATCTCAGGCTGTAAGTTGGTAAAAAGCTTCAATTTCTTTATTTTTCGCACTAATGATTGATAAGTAAATTTGAATAATAGTCCTATTAACTGGTCTTCCTTATGCATATGGATAATATCCTATTACTGACAGCCTTGGACTTCAGGATAGATCTTGGTATGTTCTTTTGGACAATGAATGTGATGCCATTCACCTTTGTTTGTCATTTGTCATTCCTGGCATAGTACACCACATGAATGGCCAATACCAGTCCATTGCAGCTCACTGATGCCTACGCTATTGATATTTATGTATTCCATTT